TTGTACTGGTGGTACAAAGTGTAATTGTGATAACATTGGTAGTGGTTGGTATGAGGACAGCGGTTTATTGACAGATAAGTCTGCTCTGCCTGTGACACAAATCAGACTGGGAGATTTTGATGGCTCAAACGAAGAAGGATATTACACATTAGGAAAACTCGAGTGTTATGGTCAGACGTGAAGTAAATGACTTGACATCGCAGCTGCAAACCACAGAACTCAGCAAGTACAAGAACTCATTGATTGAGTGGTTGGCACAAAACAGAGTAATCTCAGTAACTGATGAACCAGAAATAAAAAAAAAAAATGTGTATTTTAATCTTTTAACTCCGTGTAGCAGTTATTAAACAAAGAATACGGGATAAAATTACTGGATATAGCAAAACTTGAGTGCATGCCAAGTGCCTTAGAACCAGTGGTAGATAACATTTACACTAAACCTCTCAGACACAACTCAGACTGGGAGACTTGAATGGCTCTTAAGAGGAAAGATATAGGAGTGTTATGGTCAGGCGTGAAGTAAATGACTTGACGTCACAGCTGCTCGGGAAAAAGCCAACAGAATTTTTCAAGTATGATCAGAAAAACTCTTTAAATTGCCCTTAGGTTATTTATTCCTCGGTTATTACTGAAATAAGTTAGTGACGGACATAGAACACTCGTAATCTCAGTAGTAACAACGGATGAACCAGCAGTAAATAGTGTGTATTGAAATTTTCTTACTGCAATTAGCAGCATTTGAACAGAGAAAAGACAGTTAGAAATATATGATAAAATAAAAATTTGAGAAGTGTTATGTACCTTACAGTTAACGGCAGGTAAATAATAACCGTAGTTGAAAACGCTTTCAGACAAATATTTTACAAATCTTCTTGGACTAAACTAAATAAAAGAAATTTTCCTCAAATTCAAAAGCAGTAGGATTGCTTAAGGTCAAAAAAGAAAAAGGAGTGTTTGTAGATGATGGGAACACTTTTACGCTGTTATTATGAAAAAAACTTTATTTTTGTCAATAACACTTAATTGATTTTTCCCCCTCGATGGGGGCAAATAAAGAAATTAATTAACATCGTCACGCTTACGAACAAAATTGTGTTTAATTTATTTCGGAGTTATGCGGTAAAGCTAATTGTCTATATCGTGTGCTGGTGCTTTCATAAACCCAAAATCTGATTCTCGGTATTGGGTTGGGACTAGCTGGCAATGGAGGCTCATGCGGAGAAAATGATATAAATAAAAAGAGATCAGTGCTTAGCTTTAGCGTTGTCGCCAAAAATACAAATGTATAATCAGTGATTTCTGAGCGAAAATTAGGCTACCCAGAAAAAAATATATAAAATAATGTTTTTCCATGCCCTTACCATTGACAAAAAACGCTGATCGAATGCGAAGCAAAACCAAAGTTAAATAAAAAATCAGGGCTAATCAGGAAAGCTTCAATCCGAAAGAAATCGATGATCTTACTGAAGAATTTGGTGCACTTTCCATGCGTTGAACCCCTGGGGGGTACTCCCAGAAACATTTGGTGGGGATGTGGGGCCTGCCTCCCAAAACCCTTACCTTATTTATGACCAAAATGTGCGATTTTCCCTACCTTATTTATGACTGTTGCGGCTGACACAGTTGCCCTAAACATAAGTTTTGAAGAGCTTTTGTTGATGGTCTTATCGATACTGATTAAAAAATAGCTTTTTCTTAAAAAAACCTACCCAATTCAAGACTTCAGTACAAAAACTTTACCCTATTTAAGACCAAAATGGCCAAAATCGATACCCTATTTATGACCAAACAGGCTGAAAAACCATACCCTTTGGGGCCGCACTTGCCTATGTTGCCCATATAGGGCACAAAGTTTCCAAATCAAAACCATAGGTCCGCATTGTGAGCAAAAAGGTATTTGACAGGCACTTTTACGTTTGCTAACAAAAGTTATTTTAGACTAATGTGGGAAAGGTAACTGCCTATATCGTGTGCTTCCAAAAAGCCATATTTTAAAATAGAGATTAATATCATTTGGATTTCAAAAAGCTCCCGGCATTAGCGTCAGTTGCAAGCTAGTTCCAGTCCAATACCGAGAATACGAATATGACCTATTGGTATATACCACACAAGTGAATAGTGCTTTTCGCGCACGCTGATTGGCTAGCTCGGAGGTGATTAGCTAAGTACTATTCACCTCCGAGCAGCCAAAGAAAAACAAAATGGCTTCCCGTTTCAAATAAAGTTACTCTTAAACAAATAAAGTTACTCTTTGGTCCGCTAGTTATTCAGCTTGTATAATATATACTAAAACAATTATTAAGTTACAATGTAAAGGAGTGATCGTTAGCTGGTTAGTACTTTCTTTCCTGAAAAACACACCCGCGCTCGTGAAAGAAGAAAGATCGCTCAGTGGTAAGTATAAAAAAAAATTTAAAAAAACAAAAGAAAAAACACTTTTCTTTGTTATGAGAAATTTCTGTACTCCTGTATTCCACCGCTAATGTTGAAGCAATTCGCGCAAGAAT